CCTTCGGCCGGGGCTTCGTGCTGCGCCTGGCCCCCGACGCCAGCTTCCTGGCGCCCGAGTACAAGATCGAGCGCGTCGGGGGCTCCGGCGGGGCGGCCGGGGGCGAGCGCGAGCTGCGCGACTGCTTCTTCTCGGGCACCGTGAACGGGGAGCCCGAATCGCTGGCAGCCGTCAGCCTGTGCGGCGGGCTGAGAGGCTCCTTCCTGCTGGACGGCGAGGAGTTCACCATCCAGCCGCAGGGCTCCGGGGACTCCCTGCACCGGCCGCACCGCCTGCAACGCTGGGGACCCGGGGCGCCCCGCACCCAAGCCCAGCCCCTCCCCCGAGGGCCCGAGTCGGGGGTGCAGAAGGGCAGTGGTCAGAGGCAGGAGAGAGACGATGAGCGCGAGGAGGAAGAGGCAGACGAGGTGGAAGGAGAACAGGAGGAGGCAGAAGGAGACAGCGAGCTGCCACCATTTCTGGGGGCCACGGGTAGAACCAAGCGGTTTGTGTCTGAGGCTCGCTTCGTGGAAACGCTATTGGTGGCCGATGCGTCCATGGCTGCCTTCTATGGAGCCGACCTGCAGGTAGGAATCGCTTTGCCCAGTATCCCCCAGTCACCTCCCAGTCCCCAAATACTTCTCAGAAAACCCTTCAGGTTCCTCACCCTCCCAAGAACCCCAAACAAGGTTCTTTCCTGAGAAAGCGCGGGAACTCTTTTCTTAATCTCTGATTCCTGAGCTACCTAGAGCCGCACTCCCATGTCCCTTCCAATTTAGAGTGGAGGTCCCGGTGCTTCCCTATCTCTGTTGCTTACCCCCATCCCTCCCATCCTGAATCTTCTGCAGCACTTGGCAAACTGAACTGAAAGTGGGTTTTAAAGCATCCCCACCCCAGGCACCTGCCTCTCCCAACAGAGATGAAAACTGAACTTCTCGGAAGAACATGGACCCCACCCCCACTTCTCAGCCCTTTACTGTCTCCAAACCCGAGAGGCTTCCATGGAAAGATGTAGCTATTTCATTCTCTTTGAGTACAGAACTGAGGTTGCCATAAATAAAAGACATTGTTTGGAGGGAGTTGAACCTGGTAAGGGGCTGCCCCACTTCTTTGTGCCCAGCTGGTTCTGATCAGGGGGTGTGGACTACCTTGCCAACCTGGCGCTAAGCCCTGCAGAACTTGGCACTGCCAGCATCAGTGCAGAAGGGAGGGGAACAGGATTTCTGCCTGGGGACTCAGCCCGGGAAGCTGAAGCTTCAGTGGAAAAGGGAGGGGATATATGTGAGCATATGAACTCTTTCAGTTACTGTTCCTAGTGGAGCCAGAACTATACTTGGTCTACTCAGCTGCTCTAAGCTCGGACACAGCTCCCTACCGAGCTGGTGCAGGAAAACTGCATGCAGGGGATAGCCCCCGCATAGCCAGATAGTTTCTAACTAGACAAAGACTGTGCAGACTCAGCAGGAGATGTCCGTGTTGTCCTAGCTCCAGCACCTCCCTCAAGGACCAGGTGAAGTGTAGGGGCTGCACCTTCTCTTCCCCTGGGAGCACAGAACCAGTGATGTGCCAGGTAGAGAGGAGCTGACCTGCCTGGAGGTCGTAGTGCCCTGAAACAGGGATCCTAGCCACTGCCACAGCTCAGTTAATGCTTTTTCGGTGATAGTAATCTTGGCCAGGGACCCTATTCTAGGCTCAGCCAGTGTCTGACTGTTGGGGGCATCAAGCCTTTCAGCATCACTTGCGCAGAATAGTCCGGACAAGGTGCAATCAGCCCTTCTGTTTCTCACCCCATATTTCCCAGTGTGCAATCACTGAGAAAAGTATTCTAGATGGAACAATGAGAAGCACTAGAGAGTGAGAGTTCCATATACATGCACCTCTGGCCACTGCAGGGGCACGTTAAAACCTGAGCAGGCTCCACTGTCTCAGTGTTCAAGAGTATGCAAGGCATCTGTGAGCTCTCAGAACAGTCTGCCCCATGGGCTGATTTAGTATATTTCCCTGCTTACCCTGACAGCAAGGGTAGGCACCACCTACCTTCTCCTACTGCTTTCCCCACATGAGTCCTTGACAGAGTGGCAGAAGGAACTTGCCCCCATCTGGGGTTAGCGCTACCATGCCTGGCTATTAAGGGGCTTCATCACAAAGAAGCTGAAGTACATTCATTGCAAACCCAGAGCTGAGATGCTGAGCCCTCCCCACACTTGGACCAGTGTCTAATATCTGCTTGAGAGTCAGGGGCTACAAACAGCAACACAAAGAAGCAGCAGAAAAAGTAATTAATTGTCAGTCTCTGAAGCCAAAATATTCTTCCTAATGCCTTCCTACCACCTCACTCTTGGCGCTCTTCACCTAGACACTTAAGGTACTGAGTATTTGCCTCAAGGACATACGTGGCCTCTCCAGACACCAGAGCTATCTAGGAGCAGGCTTAGTTTGGTGCTGAGTTCCAAGATGCCCAGGCCACTGAAGCAGGAAGCTGGACTGGTTTTGCCCCAGGTTTGCTGCACCAGACAAGTCAGCTTTCTCTTCTCAGAGCCACCCAGGAGCTCTTCCACCCTCATAAGCCGCCTGGCTGGATGACCCAGCTCACGCTTGTCCCATCTCCTGGCCTTCTGTATTCATTTACAAACATCTCTACACCCAGCCAATCTCCTTGAGTTAGGAAAATGCATCAGAATGTACGTCAGGCACCTGTGAAGGCTGAGTTCCTTTCCCTAGTGCAACAGTCCCCAACCTTTTTGGCACCAGGGACTGGTGCTTCTATGAGAATCTAATGCCCGATGATCTAAGGTGGAGCTGAGGCGGTGATGCTAGTGCTGGGGAGTGGCTGCAAATACAAATGAAGCTTCACTTACCCGTCACTCACCTCCTGCTGTTGCGCCTGGTTCCACAGCCAGGGGTTGGGGACCCCTGCCCGAGGGCATCTACTGCTAGGTCTTATACCTAAAAGAAAAGTCCTCTCTCAGCTAGACCAACCCAGCCACTTCCTTCTTGTCTCATTATGTCATGCCACACCTGCACTCATGCTGTCACCATGCTGGAGTGGGGCAGGGGCTGAGGCACAGCTATTTCCATGACTACCCAGTGCCCCCCCCACCCCCCCGGTTTGACTGCTCACCAGCTGTGGAGATGCCAGAGGATAAACTTCAACATCTCAGCTCAATCTCCTGGGCTTCCTAAATGGGCTCATGAACTCAGCTAAGAGGGAATGTCAAGTCGTGCTTCTACAAGACCTTGCCTACCCAGACTCATCTCCCAAAATAGAATCCAGTTCTTTATAAGTAACTTTCCAAGGAGCCTGCTGGAGACTTCATTCACACAAATGGAGGCACATCTTAGCAACCGGGGCATGTGATGAGAATGAGGAGAGACTTTACCCACTCAAGGGCTTAGATTTCCTCATCTGTGAAGCAAGACACCTGAACTAGATAATCTGTGAGGCTGCTTCATGAAGTCTTCTGGAAAGTTTAGCACGGCAGGGAAGCCACTCAGCACATTCAGTTTGCACAGTGATTTCCACACATCACCTCAGCGAAAATACCTGTGAGGGAGGCAGAGAAAGAAAGTGCAGCTCACAAAGCATTTGCGACTTTCTCCAGGTGACACAGCTAGTAAGTAAGTGCAGGGCTGGGTTTGCAACCCAAGTCTTCTGAACCTGAGTGCAGTGCTCTTTTTATTGTGCCATGCTGCCTTTGGCTCAAAGAGGGTCTGTGACTCTGTGACTCTGCTTTCCCCCGACACTTTCCTGTGTTGTGGGAATGGGTTCTTGAATCCAGCAGTCTAAAGATACCCAGCCAAGTGGGAGGCCCAATCATCAGAAGAAACCACCGTCAAGGCCAAGAGAAAGAACCAGCCATGCTCGAGGCTGGTTTCGCCATGAGTGATAATGAAGTTTTCCAGAACTCTGTACACTTGAGTTCACTTAATCCCTTGACAGAGGGGCTCTTGCCTCCCACCTTCTTATCTGGTTTCAGAGTGAAGGACCCCAGACAAAGGGGGCTTTCTGAAAGGAGGGACCACCTCGGAAGGGACCATTAACTCTGTCTGCATCCGGCTGCTGCTTAATGCTCCCTGGATGAAACTGGAGCAGGAGAGGAGTGAGTGGAGGCTGAGTAGCACCCAAGCTCAGTCTGGGAAATCTGTGCTGCCAGTGGATCAACTGCAAGCTGAGCTCCTGAATTCTCTTCTCAGAAGAGAGGGTCCTGAGAGTGCACTCATCGTGCCCAGAGCAGACCAGAGGTTTCCCAAGATGTCAGGCTACTAGCAAGGGATTTCAGGCAAGGGCTAAGTCATCGCCATTTTGTCCCCCTCTTATCTATATCCTCTGAGGAAAATGTCCCCCACGAGCTCTAACACCAAAGAAATCATATATTCCATTTTGCCCAGCACAGTCCCAGTTCAGGCCTGTTCTGGCATAATTATTAAAAGTACCATCGCTCATTCTCAAAACTGTCCTGCTTTAGGTAATAACAGAAACAGATACATGCCCCACTGGCTCTGTAGCTACCCAAGTCTTCACAGGTGAAAGACAAGTGCTATATCCAGGTGAATTATGTTTTCCCACTGGCAAAAAAAAAAAAAAAAAAAAAAAAGAGTCCTTTCCATCTCTTTTTTCTGCTGCAGTCAGAATGACCAACAATGTGAAGTATCTCACAAAGAAATTGCCCTAATGTAAAAAAGTCTTTGATTCACCAATTCTGCCTCCCCAGGGGGAGGAGGGATGCATGGATAATGTCAGATCAATCTTGCTTCTTGCATGCTTTGGGTTTGTCTTAGCTCTGCTGTAGTTTTCCTTGAAGCAGCAAAGATGGGTGGAGGTCAGTGTAGTGAATAAGGGCATAGAGTCTGAAGGGTAATAGAAATAACTGAGTGTCCTTGAATAAGTTATCTCTTTCTCTGTACCTCAATTTTTTCACCAGCAAAATAAGAACAGTTATACCAACGTGTTATCATTGTGTTTAGGATACAATAAAATATGGAAAACACCCGACCCACAGTAGATGCTCAACAAAGCATAGCTAATACTAGATTTGCTTTTGGTGATGGCATTTGTCAGAGTAGGAGGGCAGTGTGGTCACACACCATTATAACTAGCCACTGCCATGTCAGCTCTGCTGTCCCACACAGCAGAGAGGCCTTTTCTATTCAGCTTCCTTGGCTCAGAATGTTACGCTGGACTCCTTGTGGTTCTGGAAAGCATGTGCTTTGGAGAGGTGGCATTGCCCTCATTGTTTTGAGAATGAGGAGATGAAGGACATCTGTGCAGGACCCTTTCTTCTCCTATTGCTTCTTTCCTCTTCTTTTGCTTCTCTCCTCCTCCTCAGCATAGTCTCAGGCTCTAGTGAGATGCCTAGAAGGATAAAAAGAAAAGTACGGCACTGGTTGCTGAGGTCAGAGGGTTTCCATGTTTCCATGTTTCTTCTCCTTGCCTATCCCAGGCATACTGCAAGGAAAAGCAGTAGGACCCACGGTTTGAAGGAGCAAATGAGCAAAGCATAATGGATGGCACTGTGAGCAGAAGGAGCTGCTAGAAATGCACTTGGCCTAGGCCCCGCCTCTCCTAAACTCCCACCCTGGTGGCTTTGGCTTTACAAGAGCTCTGGGGTGGGATCTCTTTCTTTATAGCTCAAAGAATCTGAGAGGACTTTGTCCCAACCAAGCTGGCTGGGGCGTTTTTCTCTACTCTGGGTCCTGGGGCACCAATGGAGAAGGATACGCCCTGAAAGATGTCCGCCTTCCCTAATGAGAGTTAAGTGCATCAGACACCCAAGTCATTCAGAAGCAGGGTTGTTTGACCACCACTGGCCAGGCTGGCCATGGGCTCTATCCCATCTTACCTGCATATCTGCTGGGGCCCCCATTCCACTGGGGATACAATCTCACTCAAATGCCTCAGCAAGCAGCCTCCACTCATGTGGTGTGCAGGGAGGTATAAATAGACACCAGGTGGTGGAGTGAGCCATCTGACTGTCTCCTTGATGGCTCCTGCACCCACTCCCTGAGACTGGAAGTCAGGCCTGCCCAAAAGAGGGATTGACCCAGGGGATTGGCTGAGAATCGGAGGCTCACAGACTCAGGACCACCCACCCTACCCAGTCCCAAGTGTCCGGCATTCTCGCCACTATTTCTCAGAAGAGCTAATGGTGGGAATGGCAGCCCTTCATGTCTTCCAAAGCTCGGTGAGACAGAGAAGGGGGGGTAAATGGGACCAGGATTAGGGATTTTAACAGAAACACTGAACCACATTATCCTTGTAGCCCTCTTGTAATGGAAATTATCTTCTGAGCTAGCAGCCAGGAGGATCTTCAAATGTCCTCAAGTCTGAGCCCCTGGCTTGAAGGAAAATGGCTCTCAAGCCGGCTCAGCCAGACCGTTATTTGGCATCTGGAGAAGGTGCTATGAGCTCCCTGATGGCAAAGGTGTAGACTCCACGAAAACCTTAGTGTCAGGACCCCTCCGACGCCTCACCCTATCCTCTGTGCAGCAGTTTACACCCACGTGCCTTTAGTTTTTGCTGGAGATGTGGCCAATGCAAGGTCTCCACTCCGCTGCCTTGCCTGATCTGGTCAGCTTGGGAATGCAGACTCTTAAGCCTCAAGCCTTCTGGGACCAGTGCTAAGCAGCTGTCATCTCTAATCTTCACACCTTCTTTGTAAAACATCATCTCCTCAGTTTTGAGATTTTGAAATCGGGACTCGAAGGGAAGTAATCTTGTGAGGAGAGTTGCAGGTTGCCTCAGAAAAAATCCCAAGAGTTGGTCCCTGGCCCATCAGACTCTGGCCCTTCCTAGAGCAAGAGACCAGAACTCTTTTGGCCCTCTGGGAGCAGTGAAGACCTGGACAGGAAGTAGCTTCAGCAAGCTACCATTCCTCAGCCCTCACCCCAAGTTGCATAATGATGTGATTGCTTTTTTCCCTTAGGAATCCAAATCCAGGAGTGAGTGCCAAGTTTCAGCTTTACTGATAAGATGTTTATATCAGCCTAAACATAGCTAGAGTGCTTGACACGCTCAGTAACCTGCCTACCCCTGTTTCTAGAGCTTACAAAATACCTGGCTTGTTGCCTGCGAGGTGAACAGACAGATCCCATTCACAAATAATGGGCTTCATCTGGAACTCCCACGCATGGCCTCAACCGATGGAATGTCCCTCTCTAGCCTTTTACCTTCCTTCGCCCTCCTTCCACTCCCACCTTCTAGACCACCAGAGAGAAGAAAGAGAGGCTTACAGGGGATGGTGCCCTAGGGAACAGGGATCAGGACAAGCGAGTGGCAGCTCAGCTAGCCACACTCCTGGTGAAGGCATGCGTGCCTCTGCCACTTTGTCTCCTCTTCTGAAAAATAATCCAAGATAAGTCACTTTTAGAGATCCCTGAGGCAGGAGAATGAGCTTCAGTCTGACCTCCTCTAAAGGCCTGGGAGCAGCCAGCAGCCCAGGGAGAGGACAGAGGCCAAGCAGTGATGTAGACTCCTTCGGTCGGCCTGGGTGGGAGTGAAAGCAGGTATGAGCCAAAGTGCCTGGGTCTCATTAGGCCCACTGGGTTTTCTCAAGCCCCAGGCAGAAGGGAATAAACCCTTCAGAGCTGTCCAGGCAAGAACTAGAAGGCCAAGCACTGGGAAACTTAATGAGAAGACTGTGGACCTTGGAGACAGATGTGCCTGGACTGCATCCTGTTCCAAAGAGCTGTGTGGCTTAAGACAAGTTATCTAACTTGTGTGACTCCTCCTCCTCATTCGTAAAGTGAGCATTACAATACCTACTTCACAGGGTTGTTGTGAGCACATAATGAGGTGACATCTGTAAAGTGTGTGCCCTGCACTTGGTACAGAGTAGCTATTTTTAGTAGCAATTATCAAAGCAAAGTGTTCAGGGTTAACATTCCCATCCTAAAGAGTAGATGTTACCCCAGCAGACGTCAGGAAAACGCTCCCATGGGTTCAAAGAAGGAAATTCTGCTAACCTTGAGCACTCAGATAATTGCTTCTGGGCCGAGAATGGAGAAGGAGTGTGGCAGCTGACAGGGAGACGGTTGGTGTCAAGGTCAAGGCAGAATAACCAGTGCCATCCAATAGAACTTTCTGTGATGATAGAACATTCTGTCTGCTCAGTCCAATACAGTAGCCACGAGCCATAGATGGCTATTGACACAATTGAAATGTCGCCAGTGTGACAGAGGAACTATAATTTTCATTTTATTGAATTATAATTAATTTCAATTTACATAGCCACATACGTCTGGCCAAGATATTAAATGCACAGGCTTTGGAGCCAGGCAGGCTGGGTTCAAATGCTGGCTGCGCACTCGTCAGATTTGTGATCTTGGGCCAGTTACTAAGACTTCATTTTCTTTTATGTAAAATGAAAGGAAGTAGTATCGGGGCCTCGGGGGTGTGAGTTTTCAGCAAGAGCCATTTATCAGACACTTAGCACAGAGTGGGGCACACGAGGTATAGCACAGGGGCTGATGGCCGTGGGCAGACAACGGGCCGGGAGATTGAACTTCTCACTCTTCCTATTCCCTCCTTCCTGACAGAACCACATCCTGACCCTAATGTCTGTGGCGGCCCGCATCTACAAGCACCCCAGCCTTAGGAACTCCATCAACCTGGTGGTGGTGAAAGTGCTAATAGTGGAAGATGAGAAACGGGGCCCAGAAGTGTCTGACAACGGTGGACTTACACTGCGCAACTTCTGCAGCTGGCAACGACGTTTCAACCAGCCCAGCGACCGGCACCCGGAACACTTTGACACAGCCATCCTGCTCACCAGACAGGTCTGTGGCTGGCTCCCGAAAGCGCGGGAAGGAAGGGAGGCCGTGCGGGCGGATCAAACAGAGGACCACTAGGCCTGCCCAAACATGGGCAATGTCTCCCTCCGGCCCCAGCTGGCCGCCAGGAGCCTCCTGTGTGGAACGATGAGGAAGAGATCACGAGGACAAATGTGAGGTATTTGCAAGGGAAGGAGAGGAATCTCATAAGGGCTTTTTTCCAAACGTTTGTGACCAGCTGTCTGCTGAGGTCATAACAAGAGGAAACAGGCTCACGCTGCCTGGCGAGAGATCTGGAGCTGGAAATAAGAGGTCCATCTGCGACGGTTGTTAAACGCAGGGGCAGGTGACCAGGGGGTTAACCTCGAGATTTCCCCAAATCAGGAGGCTACCCACCTATCCAATGTGATTGAAACAGGCAGCTTCCTGAAGGCGATGTGTGTCAGGCCCTGTTCACTCCTCAGTCCTCGCAACAGCCCCACGAGGCAAGTACTGTTCTCAGTCCATTTTACAACAGGAAACTGAGGCACAGTGGTGCACGGTGGCAGCACCCATAGTCGATCCCTGGCAAGTCGATGTCTTGCTATAGGATCAGTATTCTTAACCGCTGTGCCGTCCTGCCTCCCAAAACAAACTGTCCAGGTCCCGGCCAGCCCTAGGACACGCCATGTAGAAAGAGACACAAGCTTTCTCACACAATGGCCTATGTGAAGAAATAGGGCTTTTGGCTTAAATTTTTTTCTTCAACTCAGGAGTAGCAAGAATAGGAATATGTTCCATTCCATGTCTGTTCTTATGCTCTCAACTTTCTCCACCACACAGAACTTCTGTGGGAAGGAGGGTATGTGTGACACCTTGGGCGTGGCGGACATTGGCACAATCTGTGACCCCAACAAGAGCTGCTCTGTGATCGAGGATGAGGGGCTCCAGGCAGCCTACACTCTGGCCCACGAACTTGGTAAGAGCCGCCATACCCAAGCCTGCTCTACTATGTCAGAGGGAACTGCCTCTTCCAAACCCAGGCTCGCCCAGGTCCTAAGAAATACACAGCCCTCACGTTTAGCCAATTCCCCCTCATAATTCTGACAGAGTAATTACATGCAAATAGATATTGTGCTTTCTCCATTTCCACCCTGAGCATAAGACCAAAATATTAAAATAGTGTCCTGGACCATCATCAGATATCACCAGGAAAATGCCAAAATATGAAACAAATACACAGGCAAAGTTGTGCTGCTGTATCCAAGCTAAGCAGCAAGAATTCTAGGAAGATTAACAGTAAGAAGTGCTGTGTAAGCAAGCATATAATTTGGGTGACTGAGAATTTAGGACAGGCTGGGGCAGAAAATAAAGAGATATCAATGTTCCTCAGTACCCTGAGAAAGTTTCATGGAAGAGAAAAGCCCAGAATACAGCCTGAAACAAAAAATGTTTAAGGAATAAGGGGAGGGCGGTTCCCACGAGGAGGTAGTGACTGGTCCTCCTTCTGTCAGCAACTGTCTTGCAAGAGACAGAGAGGGGGCTCTGGGCCACGTGGGGAACCCTCTGAGCGGGGTGGGGAGGGCTGGAGAGCAGTGGAGGTCATGAGGGTGGACTGCAGTCTCTCTCCATCCCCAGGGCACGTCCTCAGCATGCCCCACGATGACTCCAAGCCCTGTACACGGCTCTTTGGGCCCTTGGGCAAGCACCAAATGATGGCGCCCCTCTTCATCCACCTAAATAAGACGCTGCCCTGGTCTCCCTGCAGTGCCATGTACCTCACGGAGCTCCTGGATGGTGGGCACGGTAGGCATCCCTTAGGCTTTTCCTGGCCAGCTGCTGGCAGTTGAGCTCTGCCTAGCCAGCCTCCTTGGATCTCTTTAGGCACCTGAGCTATTTCCTGCTCTGTCACAAAGCATGGTAGCCATTTAGGGTTAGAAGAGGCTTCAGAGATATGTTCCTCACCCAACCTTCTGTGCTATGGCTTTTTCACCATTCCCACAAAGCATGCTCTTCCTTGCCCCATCTTCTAGCAGCCTGAGTTCCGGGCTAACTTAGATTGTTAATCACAAAGCAGGTGGAATTAGTCTGAGAAGGTTTATCTGAGGGAGGGGGGTTTGAACAGAGCTTGAAGGAATGGAAGACTATTGCACAGGAGGGGGGAAGAAAGTGTTCAGGCTTGAATGGTACATCGTATATCTTAGAAATGGCAAAGCGTCAGGGAACTAGTCCCATAAGGGCGAAGAGTTGGTGGTGAAATGGGGATGGGATGGTGTGCCTGGTCAAAACAGCTTGACTTGTGAAGTAAAGCAATAAAACAATTTATCCTTGATTCTTCTCATTGGAGGAGTCAGGGAATATATGATACAAAAATAATAGATTATCCAAACATCAGTACTTTGGCTTTATTTTGCATGCCATGGTTTTTAAGAGCTCATTTACACCCCCTTGTACATGTAGATTAGTATTACACTTTGCTGGCATTCCCTAGGTAAACACTGAATGCATGTAAGATGTTCTGGATAACAAAAGAAATTCAATCCTAAAAAAAATTTGCAGTTGATAGTCAAAAATTGGATAAGCTCTATATAGATGATGAGTGTTGACAGGTTTTAGATTGAGGTCAAGGAAAGCGTGATGTCTAGACGTTAAAGCCCATCAGTAGGAATTTAAGGGTAACATGGGAGCCATGGAGAGCTGGAGAGAGGCAAACCCCAACCCTTATTCCTCTGCTTCCTCCATTTCTCAGGAGACTGTCTCCTCGATGCCCCCACCTCAGCCCTGCCCCTCCCGACAGACCTCCCGGGCCGCAAGGCCCTCTACGAGCTGGACCAGCAGTGCAAGCAGATTTTTGGGCTGGGGTTCCGCCACTGCCCCAACACCTCTACGCAGGACATCTGCTCCCAGCTTTGGTGCCACATGGATGGTGCTGAGCCCCTGTGCCACACGAAGAATGGCAGCCTGCCCTGGGCTGATGGGACACCCTGTGGGCCTGGGCACCTTTGCTGGGATGGCAACTGTCTGCCTGAGGAGGAAGTAGAGAGGCCCAAGGTGAGGGGCAGCCACTTTGTGGGGGTGGGGAGAGGGATCGGGGGAGGGCTGTTTTCAGGAAGGAAACCATACTTGAGCACCATGAACTAAGAGACTCTAGGCCAGGCTACAACTATGACTTCCAAGTAAAATCACTCATCTTTTAACAAACAAAGCAGAGCATATTTATCCAAATACAAGAGGAGCCCTTCAAGGCTGTACTCATAGCGTGGACGATGCCACTGCTGCCCTGGGCCTTTGGGGAACTCCCCCTTTGGAATTGCTTTGGAGCCAACTTGAAGGCTGATAATTGTGATAAGCGTGAAACACTCCAGCATACAGACCAGAACATGGGCACTCAATAAATGGAAGCCATTCTGAATTCTATTATAAACAGATAGAGTGACTCAGAAGAGTAACATTCAATCAAATGACAGAAAAGTACTCATATCCTACCCATGTCTGAGCTGAATTCATAATTAGCAGTCACGGGAGTGAGAGTCATTTTGGAATTCCATACTCAAAGAGGAGGAGGGAGGGAGAATCAGAACCACCTCTGACAGGCAGAGAAAACTTGGCCCAGGACAGAGTAAATTTGCAAGGAAAACCAAGGCAATGCCACTGAGAGTTTTAAATGATTCACTTCTTTGCCGTGCTCTTCATATTGCCAAACTGTGGGGCTTATCACATTTCTCTTACTGGGAGTCACTGAGCAATCTTTACGGAAACAGCATCCACTGAGTTGCATAGCCTGGTCCCTGCCCAGCACTGAATCACCAGGGTGGCCTGAGCATTCACTTTCCAGAGAGCTGTTCTCAGGGGGGTGTCCTTTGCACTGAGTCTCCAGGGCCTGTTTGGGCCAGGCAAGCCCCACAGCCGTTTTAAGCCTGAGCTGGGCAGGGCTCAGGCTTCATCTTTAGGCGCTTCCCATCCTCCCATTCGGACACTGAGCTTCGCTTCTAGGTGTCACCTTCTCCTGCAGTGTTTGCTTCACACATCACTGAGGGAAAAGAAGGGGGCCGTGCAATGATCCCCAGCACCAGAGCTGAGCTCATTGTAGGGAGAGGTCTACATGGGATAATCGTGGAATGGTATTTATCATCTACTTGTAAGGGGAAAGACAGATCATAAAATACTATATAGGACAGAATCATACTATATCTGTGTAAAATCAGATATATCTCTATAAAATTTAAAAAAAACATATTTGTGATTATATATTCAGAGCAAAAGTATGAAATGATATTGATGAAAATTATGTCAATGGTTTTATCTGGATAGCAGGTTTTTTTAAGTGTTAGTTTCTTTTTTACATTTTTCTGTATTTTTTGTTTTTCATGAGCAAAAATATTATTACAAAAATATTACAAAATTACAAAAATGTTATTTTTGTAATTTTTAAAATTATTTTCTTTTTGAAAACTCTGTGAACCCAAGGGCAAAGCTTTTACTCATGGCTTGGTTGTCAAGTTAGAAGTGGCTGTTTATTTCCCAGGCATCATCTGACCGCTGAAATGGTAGCCAGTAGAATGGCAGCAACACCTCCCAGCGGTCATTCCTTTGGATCAGGACTTCTCGACCTTGGCACTAGTGACACTCAAGGCTGCATATGTCTTGGTCGTAGAGGGCTGTCTTGTTCATCGTTGGATATTCATTGTTGGTTGTTTAGCAGCACCCCTGTCCTCTAACCACCAGAGGCCAGCAGCATACACTCTCTCCAGTTGCGACAACCAAAATGTCTCCAAATACTTTCAAATGTCCCCAAAAGACAAAACTGGCCCCAATGGAGAACTACTGCATTAGACCCAATCTTACTACCATAAAAGAGTTTCATGTGACAACTAATATTGAGCACCTTACTGAGGTCAAGGCACTGCTTTAGACACTGGGCAGTTAGCTGTGAGCAAGTCTAGCACAGCCTCCATGTTCACGAAGATGATGGCCAAGCAGGCCACACAGTCATGAAACAAATGACTAAACTAAATGACTAAACTAGAGAGTTTCCTAAACTCCGTGCACCAGGGCGAGCTTAACTAGGTGAAGGAGTCAGGGCTGTGCCCACCCTCTACCCCCACCCCTGTCACACTTCAGCTCCTAACTCTGTGGCTTTATGTGTTGCAGGCCATGGTGGATGGAGGCTGGGCCCCTTGGGGACCCTGGGGAGAATGTTCCCGGACCTGCGGAGGAGGAGTACAGTTTTCATACCGTGAGTGCACCGACCCTGAGCCTCAGAATGGAGGAAGATACTGCTTGGGTCGGAGAGCCAAGTACCAGTCGTGCCACACGGAGGAATGCCCCCCTGATGGTAATCACCACTTAACGCCACACCTGCCAGAACAGCTGCTCTTGTTGCAGCCACAGATCTCCAGGGGAAAAGTATAGTGAGTCTCCCAGGAGGCAGTGCTTTCCTGTGATCCAGACATAAATGGGCTCTGCAAGGCACCAAGCTTTAGGGCAGCCCTTAGCGACCTGGGACAGCTCTCACTGTACTGGGATAGTATGGGAAATCAAGGAGAGGAGTTGCCAAAATGTGGACATAAAGGGTGTCACTCCCAACCAAACTTATTACTGGGAGAGGAGGCTCGCAGAGGGGCTAGCATCTAGGATAATAAGCCTCTCTCATCTGTGTGCAGAACAGAAGCGTTTTCCAAAGCACTGTCAGAGCCAAACCTCCAATGTCTTTCCAGTCAACTTTCAGCCCTGGGTGGAGGGAGGATTTCTGAATCTGATTCTAGTGCACATTCCTTCGGAACAGAGTTGCCCATGTTCCCTTGGGACCATGGCAATGGACTGATAGAACCTTCCCAGGAAGCAACTACCTCCCTTGGCATATTCCTACCCTGAGTACCCACTAGAAAACACGTGTGACCTCAGAGGTAGGAATGTGCAGCAGCCGGATTCCCAGCTGGTGAGAGGGAATCATTAGAAGATTTTTCCCTACCATCCCATTCAGTTCCCTTCTGTGTTGCTCCAGGAAGTATTGGCAGGCAGCAAAAGACAAGCAGAGCTTGAAGACAGATTCATCTAAGTGCAAAGACACATTGTCAGCCGCTCGGTGTCTAATGGAGAGGATCTGTAGGTTTTGCAGTTTTGTAAGATGGGAGCAATAGCTAGCAGTGGCAGGAGGCTCTAGAAACTTTACCTCAGAATTGTGACAGTTTTCCAGGTAGACATGGACAATAGGTGATTTCATATGAATTCAGATGCACTCGAATGAGCCATCTTAGTTAACAAATATTTTTAGTGCCTCTTGTGGTGGCTAGAACTATAATAGATGTTATAAATGGCATTAAAAAACGCACAGGGCATTGTCTCTGAGCTCAAGAAATGTGAAGTTTAGTTAGAGATTCACACCCTTTTTACAAAGCAAGTAAAACTTAATCTGTGAAGCACAGACCCCTGCTTATGAGGAATTCAGAGCAAAGAAAAGCCTGGGCTAGTCAGAAGCTTCCGGAGGAGTGAGGGCTGATCAGGGCCCGGGGATTGAGAAGGTGAAGAGGTACGGAAGGATGTGCCAGGAGAGGGAGAGGCTTGAGAGGACCTATGATTCGCTCAGGTAGAATCCAGCAAAATGTACCAGCATTTCAAGGCAGACCTCAAAGGTCCGTGAAAGCTAAAATGGCACCTGGAGATTCTCAGTGCCAGCTGTCCCAGCAAGTCACCTGGGAAGTGTTTTCAAACACAGAGGTCCAGACCCCTCAGATGTACTGAATCAGAGTCTCAGGAGTTGGTCATGGCCATCCGTGTTTCAAAAAGTCTCCACAGGCCATGCCGATGTACAGCTAAGCTGGGAACCTCAGTAATAAGAGCAGGCTTAGTTTCAGGATTGTGGCGGGCGGAGGGAACATGTCTTACTTCAGACGGATTGTGCCAGAAGCGACATGCAGCAAGATGGGAGAGGAAGCAGCTGTGTGTAGAAGGCTGGGCACTAAGTCCCACATGAAGCCAGGAGGCCTGGGCTTGTCAGAGGAGGACTGAGATGGTAGAGTGGGATGGAGACATTTAAAATCACAGATTGTCCTGAATATAGTAGGACTTAATGACAGGTTGGAAATAGTGGACATAGATGCTCAAATATTCAGTCTCAGATCGGAACATGGTAGTGTCACCAAACAAAAATCAAGCCAGTTGATAGAGGAACATTATGGAGCTGGACTGTGCTGAGCTGGTGTTAATCACAGCACCTACAAATGGAGTCCCCCACAGACATGCAGAATCACAGCAGGCGAGGTGTGGTGGGGCAAGAATTAGAGCTGGAGCTGTAGATCTGGGAATCCATGGCCATCTGTCCAATGTCACCAAGGAAGTCAAGATAGAGCACAATATCAGAGGCCCGAAAATGTAGCTCCACGTGTCATTCTGTGCTTTCCAAGCTTACTGTATTGTCCCCTGTTCACACCTAAGTTTATTCATCTGTAAAAGAGAATTAATATCTACCCCAAATGGAAAGGATATTTATCCCAGAAAGCCCAGCTGAAGCCGGATCCTCCTTTCCTGGCCCCTGTGAGTAAGGGTCACACATGGGCTTAGGTCAGGTGTGTCTAGCAATGTCGGGCCCAGATGACACTGGACCTGTGTCCTGGGGTTGAGTTAAAACCAGGAGGAAGAAAGGTGCCCTGAATCTGGGCGTTTCTCCAGCTGAGTCCTTCCTGCTTTAGCACGGCATGTAAACTCCATGCTGTTTCTTACTCATTTTAGGGAAAAGCTTCCGAGAGCAGCAGTGTGAGAAGTATAATGCCTACAATTACACCGACATGGATGGGAACCTCCTGTACTGGGTCCCCAAGTATGCGGGGGTGTCCCCCCGGGACCGCTGCAAATTGTTCTGCCGCGCCCGGGGAAGGAGTGAGTTCAAAGTGTTTGAGGCCAAGGTAACTCAGATCCACAGATGGGGAGGAAGATCACCTGCCACCCCCCACTTGGGCTGCTTCTATGCCCTTCGTGCTTCTTATCTTACCTTCCCTTTCCCTGCTACAGGTGATCGATGGCACCCTGTGTGGGCCGGAGACTCTGGCCATCTGTGTCCGTGGCCAGTGTGTCAAGGCTGGCTGTGACCACGTGGTGGACTCACCTAGGAAGCTGGATAAATGTGGGGTGTGTGGGGGCAAAGGCAACTCATGCAGGAAGGTCTCTGGTTCCCTCAACCCCTCCAGGTGAGCCCTAGGTAGTTCCGCACCAAAACGGAAAAACAAAATAGGCTTTAGAATCATGTCGGCCTAAGTTTGAATTGTGGCTGCTACCCATGGAATACTAAGCTTCAGTTTCTTGATAAAATATTGGCAGTCCTCTGTATCTCAGAGTCATTATGAGGAGTTATGAGATGGGTCATGCAGAGAGTACTAGGCACAGGGTCTGGCCCATAGAGAGGACCGTACACAAGTCAGCCAGAGGCCGCATGGACAAGGGTAGATCATTCCTGAGTCAGCAGTAGAGCTACACTGAGTAACTGGGACCTTTGCCAGGAAGCAGCTCCTCCAGGCCTGTTTGGAGAAGGATATCTCACCCTATACCTGGAGAGTCTGTTCTTTCTGCCAGTGGATCTTCAGAGAAGGGTACAGTACAGGGGAGCAGAGCCTTGGTGGCTTCATAAGTCTGCGAAATCCAGACACATCTTCACAGCTTAATGCCCTACGTTCATAAAGCTCCTAGTACTGGTTTGAGTGCTTTTGCTTCTGTGGCCTCATTTGATTCCTAAAAAAAACTCTCTGAGGTGGGCAAGGCCAACACTATTATTTTCATTTACAGATTAAGAAACTAAGGCATGAAAAGATTACTGATTCTTCTAAGGTCACACTGACAGTTAATGACACCAAGGAAGAGAACCCAGGTTTCTTAATTCCTAGACAATCTTCCTGCCCTTTAGGCACCTCCTAGAGAGGAAGGGTGAGGGTAGGTGTTATGCAGCCACACTGGGCCCCTCTGTCTCTCTCTCTCTCTCATCTCATCAGGCTCAGAGAACAGAATCGGCCCACAGTGGACAACTGTAGATAAGTTAAAACTCAAAGAATATGGAAAAAAGAAGCCTGGGATATTGGGTCCTCGAGCTGAATTTCTCTTAGGCATTAGACAAATGGGCCTGTGGATACCTTCTTGATGCCCTAGACTAAGCAGCTGGTGTAAGGCAAGAGTAGTGAAAAACCACCTGACTCTGCTCTTCAGTCCTCTTCACTTTCTTCCCTGTGTAACCCAAATGCTTTCCCTCCAAAAGCCAAGAATAAGAACTAAGGTTTCTCTAGCCCACGTAAAGCCCTGGACCTATAATAGAGTTGAAACATTTTCCCAAAACAGCATCCTACCCCGCAGAAGCACAGGTCATGGTGTCTGGGCGTACCCAGAAGGTGGCTCCTCTGAAACAGGGTTTATTGCCCTCGTACCTGCCTTAGAGCCGTAATAACCAAATACTAAGAACTAGTTGACTCTAAGAAGTGGAGTGAGGCATCAGATTCTGGAATTAGTGTGTGGAACAAATTTTCCACATGGGTTTGAGCTCTGGGTATGAAAGTGGCCAAGCAAAGTTTTATACCAGTGCAAGGAACTAAATGTGTTTGAGATGTCATTTGAGCCAAGAGCTGCTGGGTTTGGCAGCCCCAATGCAGCTTTTAAAACCCCTCTGGGCTGTCTTTCTCCCTGCGCTATTGTCAAGACCCATACATTTAAACTCTTCACCCCAGTATTTGAAACAGAGTTACCAGGTAAAACAAAAGCCCATGAAAAGCCCAATGTACAAAATATTCCTGTTGGCCTCTGCAGCTAATTTATTTAGAACTTTTAGCTAACTGCATAATTATTTGCTAGTGCTTTTTGTCTACCACCCCCAGTCACCAGCAGGTTAACTTCCTTAAGCTCTGGGCTGGGAAGCCACTGGTCCTAAGGGGGTCTTTCTATTCCTATCCTAGTTATGGCTACAATGACATCGTCACCATCCCAGCTGGTGCCACGAACATCGATGTGAAACAACGGAGCCACCCAGGAGTCCAGAACGATGGCAACTACCTGGCATTGAAGACCATCGATGGGCAGTACCTGCTCAATGGGAACCTGGCCATCTCTGCCATAGAGCAGGATATCTTGGTGAAGGGGACCATCCTTAAGTACAGTGGTTCCATCGCCACCCTGGAGCGGCTACAGAGCTTCCGGCCCCTGCCTGAGCCTCTGATCGTGCAGCTCCTGACAGTCCCTGGTGAGGTCTTTCCCCCCAAAGTCAAATATACCTTCTTCGTTCCTAATGACGTGAACTTCAGCATACAGAACAGCAAAGAGAGAGCAACCACCAATGTCATCCAGCCCCTGCTCAATGCACAGTGGGTCCTGGGGGACTGGTCTGAGTGCTCGAGCAGCTGTGGAGCTGGCTGGCAGCGGCGGACCGTGGAGTGCCAGGACCCCAGCGGCCAGGCCTCTGCCACCTGCAACAAGGCCTTGAAACCTGAGGATGCCAAACCCTGTGGAAGCCAACCATGCCCCCTGTAACCCAGCGGAGCGGGGCCAGTCTTAGGATCATGAACTCAGGAAGCTGGGTGCAAACACGTGTCCCCACTGTGGTGGCCCTACATGTGGAGGTGTCATGGGCAACACAGGTCTCCCATTGCCACAGCCCCTCGCATGGCATGAATTCCTAAGAGGAATAGAAGAAAGGATGGGACAACAAATCCTAATGTCTACTTTCCAGTGGATGGGACCTTACCTGGGTTCAAGTAGAGGACACAGGTTAAAAGCTAAAAAGTGCACTTGTTGACCTAAACAAGAGACTCGGTCAGCCTGTTTGCAAAGGACTAGCAAAGTTAAACAAACAAACAAACAAAAAATGTTTTCTATTTGGCTTCCCCGATAAATGATCTACCTCAGAGGGGAAAAAAATTAGTCCAAGAGAGGTATGGGGCAGGGAGTCAATGGCAAATGTCAAAGCAAGCTCCCTAGCTGCACCCCTGAGCTGGCTTCACGAGTGACCATGACTCTTCAGTATTAAAATCCATTGCCTGAAGGGCTGCAGGATTGTGGAGAGCCACCTGTTCTCAGGCTTCCACCTGCAGGGGTGGATCCATTTCAAATATTTATGCAAATGTGTCTCTGAACTAAAGTGTGATCTTGTGCCAAAGTAGTGGTCTAGTCTGGTTCAGCATTTGGAAAGTGCAGGGGACCCAGAGCCCAAGGACAAAGGCTAAAACTAGGTCAGCCGATCTTGAACATACAGGGAAACAGGCACCTTGCCTGACTCTCTTCAGGCCCTTCCCCTGGGTTCTCTGATGCCTGTGAATCCAGCTCATTCAGGCAACTCTTCATTTGCATAATCCAGACAAGTGGTTCTCAAACTTTAGTGGGCATTAGGATCATCTAGAGGGCTTCATAAAACACGGATTGCTGGGCCCCACCCCCATAGTTTCTAATTCCGTGGGTCTGAGAGGGGCCTGGGAGTTTGCATCTCCAACAAGTTCACAGATGACATGGAGGCTGGTTTGGGGGCTGTGCTTAGAACTGCTGCTCTAGTGGGAACTTCCGACTTGGGAACAGTGGTTACATGATGTCTCTGGGCTCCTTTCCTTGAGAAAGACTCACCCCTTTCCCTCTGCGTGTGTCCCCATCCTTACTTTTGCCTATTGACCAGCTGGAGATACAAGACTCTCTTAGGATCTAAGGAATTCTGAGCCCTCAGCTCCTTTCCACACCAAGTTCTATCCTCATCTCACAACTCTTGGGGCCCAAGCAGCTTTCAGCTTTCCCAATCAGCCCTTTTACACAGAATGGCATTCTTCACTAGCCATCGCAACCTACCTGAGAGTTTCCAAAATCCTATCTCCTGCATCATAGCTCCTCATCTCTTCCTGGCTCAGAGGAAGTCTCTGGCTCAGTCTTCTGTATGATCTGGTATAGAGGGAATGTAGTCCTTGGTCATAAATGGGTAGCAGAAACGGACATCAAGAAATGCCCTTCTAGCAAAATGCAGAAAAGTATCTAAATTTGCATCTTCCCTTTCTTGTCACCTTTGACCCCTTTGTCCTTCCCTTTTGCTTTCTGTCAAGACCCCTTCAAATACATGGTGACATGGACAGGGAGGATGCTAGATGGAGCCCTGTTTGAATGGGAAAAAGGAGCCCCCTGTGAAGACTCAGTCCCTTGGGCACAAGGCAAGGCAAACAGGATTTCAGCTCTTACCGTGCCCTTAGCTGATCACCTTTGTGGTGCACGGTGGCTGTTGACAGAGTTGACCACTTTTCCTGTCTGCCTTTCCTGTCTACCGACTCATTAGTGAGTGGGAGGCCAGGCTTACCTAAACATAAACAAGCACACACACAGGCATGTTGATGATGACTAGTAAAACCAGATTTTCCCTTGCTATGCACCAATTTTGTTGAGGCCGATATATATTTCTGCAATTCTTCATCTCTTTTCATTTCTCATTCTCCCCAAAATAATCAAGGCCAAGTGTGTCCCTCATTAGCAGCCCACGCCAGTCCAGCTGTGCCATCCCTACTGGCTGCATCATTACCAGCACAGCTTTTGCCCTGGAGTTCAGCTGGCAGCAGAGCTGCTGATGTGCGAAGCAGAATGGAATCCAGCTTGGCTCTTCCTTGCTGTGTGGGCTCGGCAAGACTCACAGAATACATACTTGTTTGTGTCTGGAAATTCAACAGCTGCAGCTCAGGGACTCAGAAAACAGATCTGCAGAGAGAGACCATATTATTATTTTCCCCAGCCAACCACGACCACCCTTTTTGCCCAGAGAAGAGAAGATGTATTTCTTCCGCTGAGAATTTAAATTTTCCAGCTAGTGCTACTAATGAAAATCCCTAAGGCCCTGACTCAGCAGGTAACTTGGTCATTCATTTGTATCCTCTGAGCACCTGCCAGAAATATTTCAAAGGTGGTACATTAGCATCAAAGTTCATTTCCAACCTTTCATCCTTAGGATAAGTAAATCTCTGTCTGGGGTTATTCTCTGCCCTTTATTCCTCTACAGCTGACCAGAGGGTTTGGTGAATTTACAAAAGTAAGCAACATGACTGTTTCCGGAACCACTTTAGCAAACCACCTTTCTCTCCCAGGAACATTTCCCAGGGGTGATAGGGCCATCTTCCCACCAGCTCCACACCTCGTTCTCTAATGTTGACTAGGTTCTAGATCCTTGGTGTCTGGGCTCTTGGGCCAAATGGGACCTCTTACTGAGGACTGTTCCTCCTTCAGCATCCAAACGAACAATAGGGAAGTTCTTAAGAATATGTTGGCTTTTGCTTTGTCTTAATGTTTTCAGCTTGTGGTCCAGGTCAGATAAAGAGAGAGGCTTTGCCACCACTGCATTCTTGAGTCTATAAAGTGGTGAGGAGGTGTTGCTGCGAGGCTTTCACACACAGCCTAGACGCCCTGTGTAGGAACCTCCGCCTGTCATAGGAAGAGAGGCTCATAAGCCCACAGCTATCTCTACTCCACTTGCTCTGCCTCACATCACCAGCCCCTTCAGGAAGCAGTAGTGTCCCTTTTGCTTCTTGGAAATTAGAAATGGTTTGTCTATAAGAGTGAACAGAAATCTGGAATTTACCAAAGAGAATCAGATATAGTATGATCCCTGGTTACCCCATTTCTGCTGCCACAGCCTTAGCACTTCCTTTTGCCTCTATGGTGAGTCGAAGCTAAATTACTGAACACATGGCCAAAATAAAACATGAGAGAGAGTGAGCATGGTGAAGAGAGTGAAGGCAGCATTTTAGGCAAGGTCAAACGACTGTCCCTGATACCTGTCCTCCTCCAGCCTTGTTCTGCTCTGCGTAGAGTGGGAAGGAATTCCCTAAGGGAAGAGAAATATATTCCCACCAGCATTCCCCACTTCCAGTTCCACCATCAGTTAGACCACCAGCCACCCCAAGGCCCTGAGCAGGCCTTGGCAGCTAGGATGGAAAACAGAGGAAAGAAGCACTCCTGCCCTTGAGAAACATAAACAGGGTTGGCTCACCTTTGTGGCCCTCAGCTGAAGGACAGTATGTCTTTATGAGAAAGCTCTCTTCTAGCCTGGGGCATTTTCCTATGGTCCCCTGGCTGAGCTGGCAGCTTCAAGAAAACTGCATGTGGAATGTGAAAGAGAGAGAGAGGTCACCATCCTAAGCCAACATTTTTGCTGGTTCAATCTGTATCATCACTGAAGTTACCTATTGTGGTTATATCAATCTTACATTTGAAAAAAATCTAAAAACAAAATAACACATGAACAGGAGCTAAAAGTTGGAACGCTAAGTGAGCAGAGCAGTTAGGCTATGACTCCCATGCCTTCTCTGACTCACTGGCACCACGTCAGCCCTTCCCAGGCACCTGTCTGCTTTCTAGGCTAAAACTTCCTAACAGCCTGACTGCACTTATCAAAATAGGTGTGCCCCTTTACAGCGTGGTTTATTCTTCCTCAGATGGAGAGCTTCTCTTATATTCCATTTAGAAAACAATTGGCCTTCTTTGCTTAAAACTGAGTGCCAGCCAACCTACACCCCCCAAAACTAGATAAACGTGTTCCTCACAGACATCACTCAAGTACTGGGAAGAGAAAGATGAGATCCAATGTACGAGTATGTTCTGAACAGTAATGCTGGAGCAGGGAGAGAGGCAAGCCACCTGTCTCTTTGAGAACATACTTTCCCTCAGGCCTTGGGCTCAGCGATGAGAGACAGGAAAATTCTGGCTAGTCTTCCATCCCTGTGAACGGCCCAGCCGACCCCTGGTAGACACACAATTGCCCAGGAAGGGAGAGAGTAAAGAAGCCCTTACCAGACAGACCTCACCATTCCTCATTCCAAACATCTTGTAAGTCCCAGGCGCACGGAAGAGTCTGTCCTAAGCCAAACACAACTTCCTGTTTCTAAGAAAGAAAAAATAGTTGAAAGGCTTTTTGGACGCTGGAGATTTCGAGTTTCTATAAACGCAAATGAATCAGACACATGTGGAATAAATTCCTCCGGAAGTAAGAAAAGATGCTGTGAGTTCCTCTTGCTGGACCAGAAAGTGGGAAAAGGGTAGATGAGATGGGAGGTGCACCAGACACCGAAAGGAGAGAGAGAAGCCCTGTGATCGCTGGATCAAAGACAGGGTCCCGGTGATGACAAGGGTCAGTGTGAGCCCTCCCAGGCCACATCCTGAGCTTGCTGATTACTCAGAACTTTTCCACCTCTGAAGTCATTAATTTAAATATCTTACTCCCCGACCACAACTTCCTGTCCTTCCAGATCTCTCACTAGCTCATATTATACACATTCTAGGGACTCCCAGATCCTTGGCCACCCCTAAATACACACGTTCCCCTGTCTTTAT